ATCAAAGAACATTTCTTTGTGTTTGTATACCTATTGACTTTTTATAAAAGTGAGACCATACAATATTTGTCCTTTTGTGGTTGACTTATTTCATTCAGCATAATGTCCTCCAGATTTATCCATGTTATGTTTCGTGTACTCCTAATTATTCTTTATAGTTGATAGTATTCCATTGTATATATGTACCACAATTTGTTTATCCATTCATCTGCTGATGGGCATTTAGGTTGTTTCCATCTTTTTGCTATTGTGAATAATGCTGCAGTGAACATAGGTGTGCATGTGTCTATTCATGTCACTGCTCTAATTTCTCTAGGATATATAACTAGGAGTGGGATTGCTGGATCTTATGGTATTTCTATTTCTAGCTTTTTGAGGAAGTGCCATACTGTTTTCTATAGTGGTTGTACCATTTCACAATCCCACTAGCAATGTATAAGAGCTCCAATCCCTCCACAACCTCACCAGCATTTGTTGTTTTCTGTTTTTTTTTTTTTAAGTCATTGCCATTTTTGCAGGGGTGAGATGGTATCTCATTATAGTTTTGTTTTGCATCTCTTTAATGGCTAATGGCCTGGGTAGCTCAAATGGTACAACAACAGAATTTTAATCTGAGGATCCAGGGTTCCAGTCCCTGTCTAGGCATTCTTTAAATTTGGAAATGCTGGTGGTGTAGTGGTTAAGAGTCACAGCTGCTAAACAAAAGATCGGCAGTTCGAATCCACCAGGCACTCCTTGGAAACAGCATGGGACAATTCTACTGTGTCCTATAGGGTCACTATGAGTTAGAATTGAGTCTATGGCAAAGGGTTTTTAATGGCTAATGATTGCAAGCATCTTTTCATGCATTTTTTTGCCACCTGAATGTCTTCTTTCATGAAGTGTCTGTTCATGCCCTTTGCCCATTTTTTTTATTTGATTGCCTTTTTGTTGCTGAGTTGTTGAAGTTTTCTGTATATTTTAGAGATTACATCTTATCAGGTAAGTCATTGCCAAAGATTCTTTCTCAGTCTGTTGTTCTCTTTTTACTTTCTTGGTAAAGTCTTTTGATGAGCATAAGTGTTTAATTTTTAGGAGGTCCCAGTTATTTTACCTTCTGTCGTTCATGTATTTTTAGTTTTGTTTGATAGATTATTTTATGCCCAAAATTAGGTCACTTAGTTTTGACCCTATGTTATCTTCCGGGAACTTTATAGTTTTAGCTTTAACATTTAGGTCTTTGATACATTTTGAGTTAGTTTTTGTGCATGGTGTGAGATATGGATCCTGATTCATTTTTCTGCATATGGATATCCAGTTTTGTCAGCACCATTTGTTAAAGAGATTGTTTCTTCTCCATGGAGTGGACTTTGACTCTTTGTTGAAGATCAGCTGCCCGTAGATGGATGGATTTACTTCTAGTTTCTCAGTTCTATTTCATTGGTATATGTGTCTCTGTCAGTGAACCAGTACCAGTCTGTTTTGATTACTGTGGCTGTATAATAAGTTTTGAGATGAGGAAGTGAGACGCCTACTACTTTGTTCTTCAGTATTGCTTTTGCTATTCAGGGCCTCCTTCCTTTTTCTGTAAAGTTGGAGATTAGTTTTTCTGTTTCATTGAAGAATGTTGTTGGGATTTGGATCGGGATTTCATTATATCTGTAGATTACTTTGGGTTGTATTGACATTTTCACAATGTTAAGTCTTCCAATCCATGAACATGGAATGTTTTTCTGTTTATGTAGATCTCTTTTAGTTTCTTGCAAACCCCAAAACCAAACCTGCTTGCTGTTTGGTTTTGTTGATTCTGACTCATAGCAACCCTATAGGCCAGAGTAGAACTGCCCCATAGGATTTACAAGGAGTGCCTGGTGTATTTGAACTGCTGACCTTTTGGTTAGCAGCTGAGCTCTTAACCACTTCACCAGCAGGGTTCCTTAGTTTCTTGCAATAGTGTTTTATAGTTTTCCTTGTATAAATCTTTTATGTCCCTGGTTAGGTTTATTCCTAGGTATTTTATCCTTTTGGGGGCTATTGTAAATCGTATTGATTTCTTGATTTTCTTTTCAGAGTCCTCCTTGTTATTGTAGAGGAATCCAGCTGATTTTCGTGTATTGATTTTGTACCCTGCCACTTTGCTGAATCCTTCTATTAGTTCCAGTAACTTTGTTGTGGAGTCTCTGGGATTTTCAATGTATAGGATCATGTCATCTATGAGTAAGAATAGTCTTACTTCTTCCTTTCTGATTTGGATACCTTTTATTTCCCTTTCTTGCCTTATTGCTCTAGCTAGAACTTCCAGTACAGTATTGAATAAGAGTGATGATAAAGGGCATGCTTGTCTAGTTCCTGATCTGAAAGGGAAAGCTCACAGTCTTTCTCCATTGAGAATAATGTTGGATGTTGGTTTTGCAATATGCCCTTAATTATGTTGAGGAATGTCCCTTCTATTCATATTTTGTTAAGAGTTTTTATCAGGAAAAGGTGTAGAATTTTATTAAGTGCCTTTTCTGTGTTGATTGAGATGATCATGTGATTCTTTTCTTTCATTTATGTGGTGAATTACGTTGATTGATTTTCTGATGTTGAGCCATGCTTGCGCCCCTGGTATAAATTCCACTTGATCATGATGTATTTATTTATTTTTTTTGATATGCTGTTGAATTCTGTTGGCTAGAATTTTGTTGAGAATTTTTACGCCTATATTCATGAGGGATATTGGTCTGTAATTTTCTTTTTTAGTGGCGTTTTTGCCTGGCTTTGGTATCAGTGTTATGCTGGCTTCATAGAATGAATTAGGGAGCATTCCTTCCTTTTTATATGTTCTGGAACAGTTTGAGTAGAATTGTGTCATCTCTTCTCTGAATGTTTGGTAGAATTCTCCAGAAAAGCTATTGTGAAACTGATTCATTTTTCTACCATATAAAACATGATATTTTGTCCCTGAAATGGGAGTAAATTCCAGGTGTTTGAATTACTGAATACATTGTGGAGCAACCAGTTGATATCATAGAAATAGCCTTTGCATGCTTTTGTAAGAGTCCTGGGGTGACACAAATGGTTAAATGCTCAGCTGTTAACTGAAAGGTTGGGAGTTCAAGTCCACCCAGAGGCACCTTGGAAGCAAGGCCTGGCAATCTACTTCTGAAAAATCAGCCACTGAAACCCCTGCAGAGCACAGTTCTATTCTGACACACATGGGGTCACCCTGAGTTGCAGTCGACTCAACAGCCCCCAGTTTGGTTTGGTTTTGGTTTGCTTTGTAAGCATTGTAAAAAATCTTTTTATCTCATTTATTATCTCAAAAATCAGTCAGTGTACTTCAGTGGGGATAAGCCATCTGCCACATGCTACCTATTTCTCTGCTTAGCACACAGAAAGGCAGATAGTCAGGTGTGAGCCGGTGGCGTTCGCCATTATCTTCAACCCTAAACCAAGGCCAGAGGGCATATTGTTGAACAGAAACTGTTCTTTGCAAATGAAGCTGGGGAATGAGTTTCAAAAGGGACCACTGTTGTTAAGAGGACAGTAACACCTTTGTTGCACACTGAGTGGGTGCCTTTTCTGTACTGATCTCCATGTGTCCTGCTTCACAAAACACACACTAATTAAACAAAAACATACTTTCTCCTGTAGCATGGGCTATCGGTGGGTAAATGGAACAAAAAGCTGTGAGCACTTCTCTCTGTATAGTACTCTTGCTAGGACCTGACCCACACTCTGCCCTCGGAGGTTTTATCCAAATAAAAATGGCATCTGGTCTGCAGACTGTCTGTGGTTTCCAACAGTCATTTGATGAAGGAATTTTGCTATCAGCTTATTTTACTTTCTCTCTGGACATAATGTTTGTGATTGATTTTACAGGTAGTTTTATAAGCTTCTCACTAAGAATGGGACTTCTACCTTTTTTATTTTTTCTACTTGGTTTTGATCTCTTTTAATTCTCTATGACAAAATTAAGTTAATGCCGTTAAGTAATTTTCTGTGTGTACTTGTTGTGAAAAACTTTGAAGTCATACTCGGGTGGCACAAATGATTAAGACGTTGGGTACTAACCAAATGATTGGCAGTTTGAATCTACCCAGAGGCACCTCAGAAGAAAGACCTGGTGATGTACTTCTGAAAAATGAGCCATTTAAAACCCTATGGAGTGTAGTTCTTTCTGACACACGTGGGATTGTCATGAGTTGGAATCAACTCTATGACAACTGGTTTTTATACTTTATTTGAAGATGAGGCAAAAACTCTGATGGCTCCATGTTATAATCTGACAAATTTTTGTAAGAGACAATGCACCATGACGAGGGCCAAATGGCTTGCTGAGCCAATAAAATCGAATTTTCAAATACTTATCACTGCATTTCCTTTCTTCTCGCTTTATTTTTGACTGTAGAGTGAAATCAGCACACTCACCAAATCACTTGTCCTGAGACATAGATTCATGTTCTATATTTATACTGGAGCCCTGTTCAGAATTTATGTTTATGATATTATTTGACTTATACTATTTATATTATTACTTATATCACTGCTTTTAGGCTTCACTTTTGTGATTTGGGGCTACAGCACAACAGAATAGTAGAATAAAACTACAAACTTCACGATAAACAATGAGACTATGTGAACAGAGATGAGTTGCAGGCTGTTCACTTAATTCTAGTGAGGTAAACTAACTGTTACTACGAGAGTAATGGGCTTTCTGTGAGAATTTTAATTATTTACATTTAAAGCCTGTGAACACAATCGTTTTAACTCTTCTTTGCTCTGAATCCACCAAACTTCGAGGCACCACTCTTTGAGAACACTACCCTACAGTTTTTGATGAGAACATTTCTGGAACAGAACTGGTGGATGAGGTATGGCTTGGAGGGACTGGTCCCTGCTGGAGTTTAAAGAGACCAAAAAGCAGAAAATAAAGGAATAGCAGGTCCTTTAGGGCTTCTGGTTGGGGGGAGTTGGGGAGCAGGAATTTAAGCTATGTCCTTATAAGTGTTTCCATTTTCTTCCTTTATACCTTGCAGAGTAAAAGCCAGGGATCCATCTTTGTCCGAATACATGCCCCGTGGCAGGTGCTGGCCAGAGAAGCAGAATTCTTGAAGATCAAAGTTCCCACCAAGAAAGTATGAGCATGTTTCTCCTGAGCTCTGGGGTCTCACGAGGGCTGGATGGATACTAATACAGTTTGGGAACAGGGCCAGGTGGGATGTGGCTTTTGCAGAACTGAAATCACACTTGCATCCCCAGGGAGCCTAAGTATGTGGCCATGGTGTGGGTGGGACAGGGAGGAGCGCTGGGGTGGGGAGAGGGGCTGGGTGTGGGAGAGATTCTTTCACTACAGAGCACCACCTGGATTGTGCTCCATGAGAAGCCAAAAATTGCTCTGATCAGCCTTCTTAATTTCTCTGTTATACCTTCTTTTTCCTTCCTCCTTGGGCTCCCCACACTGCCAGGCATTTCTTGAGAGTGAATGTAGCAATGAGAGCAGACAGCAAGCCATGCTCATAGCAGCAAACTTGTGAAGACATCTCTTCTGGTTCTGATCTGCCACTAAGTATCGTCTGGCAATGGGTTTCAGTTATCTCTTCTGTAAAACAGAAAGTTCTTAATCTGGTGAATTCATCAAAATCATCCTGGAAGTGTTTTCAAAATGTTCATTCCAGTGTCCCATCTCTATATTTGATTCAGTTGCTTGGTATGGAATGAAGTCCTGGCATCAGTATTGTGGAGGAAAAAAAAAAAAAAAAAAAAGCCAGGAGAGTCTGATGCCCATCTGGGTTGAGAACTACATAGTTTACATGATTTCTGAGGTCCTTTTCAGCTATAACAGTCTATGTATGATTTAAAATATGCTCCAGGGAATTCCTAGATCACGTGTTTCCTTGTAAAACAAAACCCAGCAAACAGCTCCAAAGAGAAAGAAATATGTGCCCACAGATTCCCCACTCTCTTATTAGGCATTATAAGGGAAAGAGTGACCACTGACTTTAAGATGTCTCTAGGAATGGTCCTGGGGCAGATAATGCTCTAATTTAACCATGGGTGAAAACACACACACATACACACACACACAGAATATTATTTCACAAGTAGTGACCCAGCTTTGCAGAGTTCCTCTCCATCATTCTAACTACCACTATCATAATTTCCACCCTCCCCACCATTAACGGGATTCCATAGTCATTGCCTTCTGCACTACACTTCTCCTCATCCCATCCCCGCTATCAGTAGCATTGTTAGAGTCAACTTCACCACTTTGATTTACGTCGTTAGCTATGTTAACACCATCTTCACTACCAACAGATCTACTGTCTCCATCAAAAACCACTAATTCTCACCTTTCAGCCAAATGATAGATTGGGCTATGAAATAAACAATAACAGCCACGAGGAATGTACTCCGTTAAACAATCAGCTACATGAGACCAAACGGACAACATTTACGCAAAAACAAAGAAGAGAAGGCAAGAAGGAACAGGGAAATTGGATGGATGGAAAAGGGCAGGTGGAGTGGAAATTGTGAGAGTGCTGACACTTTATGAGGATTGTAACCAGTATCACAGAACAATTTGTCTATGAATGGTTGAATGGGAATCTAATCTGCTGTGTAAACTTTGACCTAAAACACAATAAAATATAAAAAAAATAAAACCCACTAATCAAATACCTGCATGTGACTGATGCCATCATGACTCTCCTACTCAAGAAGACTAAAGTCAGTGAGTTCTGTCCTTAGAGATTTATTAAGAGGGACATGGCAGGTGGACCAATCACTATTAAACAATGAACAAACACAGACATGAATATTAGCTCCAAACATATTTTACTGATAAAAGGTAAATTTATTTTGGGTCCCATGCCTAAAGTGCCTTGTTTCACATAGGAAGGCATAAAAGAACCACACTGTGCTTTTCTCTTTCAGCTGAACTGCTGTGATCTTTGTCTCTTAGTTCTCTCACTCCTAATATCAGTGTACTCAAATGCAGGCACTATCTTAGCTCTAGACCTCGTCTCCTACTCAACTGATGTTTCCCTGATCTCTTGGCAGCATGATCCAAGTCTTAGACTTAGATGGAGGCTTCTGCTTCCCTTTGGTGGTGTTCTTACTTGGTCGACCCTTTCCCTTTTCTTCCTTCTGTCTTCCTTCTAACTTCAATATATTCTTCTCCTTTCTCTTTGGTTTATCTGAATATCTAACAGTCTCTCAATCTCATTCTATTTGTATCTTATTTCCTATGTTTTTGTCTCTGCTGGCTGATCCTTGGAAAGAAACTGAGCAAAATAACGTCCATGCCACTGTATCCACCCCCACAGGGTGATCCATTTAGCAGGAAACCTAAAGGCATAGAAATGTATATCCTTCTTCTATCTTCCCTTGTTGCGTCTCTTCTTTGCTCTCTTTCCCATCCTCCTTTCACTCTCATGCTGTTCCTTCCCTTCTTCTCTCTTCCTTCCACCTCCTTCTCCTGACGCCTTCTCCTATCCTCCCTCTCTGTTTTTTCAGCACTCACCACACCTCTTATTTTTTACCACCTTCTTCTACTCCTCATTCCCAGGCTCAATCCCCAAGTAGTGTCTGCCTCTGGTTCTTCTGGCGTCCTCAAACTCATAACTTTGAAAGTATAGTTCTGCTTAAATGACATATCTGTCCTCAGAGTTTAAGTGCCGCCATACAAGTAGCCTTTTGGAATTTACAATCTGTAGTTTAGGTGGAACCTACACTTGAATTTGTAGATGTGATGATTAGGGCAAGAGCATATTATAAAGCAACTACATCTGGGTTTCCCTCCACTTTCGTTTTGGTAGCACAGGATGGTAGAGTGCACTAAACTAGTCTTCAGAAGACCAGACTTCTAGCCTTGGTTCTGCACTTATTTGCTGTGTGATCTGGGGACACCACCTAATCTTTCAGAGTCTCAGTTTCCTCATCTATAATATGGGTGTAACAATACCTACCCTATTTTTTTTAGAAGGGTGTTATAAGGATTCAATTCTTAATCACTGTTATGGGAGTACAGGAGTTTATTATGTCTGTTCTCAATTTTTTAATGTGTATTCTCAATTCCTAGTCCTCCAGCCAATTTCCTTTCTGACTGAATAGCCAGCCACTCTGATGGGATTGGTAAGAGTCTGGAGAAGCACTGAAGGGCAAAGAAACAACCATGCCCTCAGGGAGCTTACAATCAAAGGGCACAACAGGAAGACTGCACTTGCCCAGACACCAAAACACTAACTAAATACTGTCAATTAGCAAATGGTTAGCTCAGCACAGATTCTGTCTGTAAACGTGGTGGGGTAGTGAGTCTGAGGAGAGGCAGAGCAGGTAGTTGCTTCTAGAAGGTTGTGTCTAGAGACACAACAGACACATCTTTTCCCAAAATTTCTGGGTCCCATGCTGGACATGGGTGGTTTGTTCTGGCATCCGTCTAGGCTTCAGCCACATGGTCCTGGATCCTCTTTGTGTTCACAGAATGCAGTGGCTTGTATTTACCTCATAAGGATTGTCATAAGTAGGAGGGGGTACAAATTGGTATGCTGGATAGGTGCATATTTGAAAAAATTAATCTGAGAACATGATCCCCAGGGGGCATATTAAACCTAGTCCCTGAGGCGGGAAAGGACCATGAAGAAGGGAGGATGAGATAGGGCAGTCTGTGGAGGACTAGCCCTAGGTCTAGTGGCATTTCTCTCTTTATTATATGGGTTAGGAGAGTGACTAAAATGAGAATGAGACACATTTGCAGACAGCCACGTCCTGGGGAGGGGAACATGGAGGAAGAATGAGGCATCATGTGGGATCAGTTAAGCATCCTTCAGGCCAGTGGAGGCCTGGATCATAACTCAGTGAGCTCCGGAGAGACAGGGAAGACAGAGAAGAAATCACAAAATCCAGGTCTCAAACTGGACAAATCTATAGTAATGCACCCAGGGACTCGGTGTCCCGAGCGCAGATATTAACTGGGGGGCGAGGGGGGGAAGGTGGGGGAGAATCTTGGAAGGAAGCATTTGTTTTCCAAAAACAATAGAGGAGCCAGCATTTTGTGAAGGACACTCAACATCCATGCACAGGAAGGAGGTGGGAAGGCCTGAGAAGCCAGGGAAGTTTGGAAATGGGTGTTTGGGGAGAGGTGGCTTTCTCAAGTATGTTTGTTACAAGGATGGCTCTTCTACTACTTGAGATTGTGGTGAACATCCATGTTTCTTTTTCATTCATTTTTATATATGTACACTTCTTTTCTCCCCTCTTACATTCAATTACTCCCCAAGTTCTGCCTTTAGCAGAGACAAGGCAGGGGAATGGACAAGGGGAAGATAACAGAGTCCACGAAGGAGGACTTACTTGTCAGGGAAATCACCTTAGTCCAGCCAGATTCCATGAAACTTTGAAGTGGCATGCCTGGGATGGGTGAAAATCACTTTTGTCCAATCTGTCAAGGCTTTTGTAGCTATCATTAATAGGGTCATGGTGGTTGTCTCTAGGATCCTGGAAGGACTTTAGCTTATGAGTCCTTTGCATGCAAATAGATGCTGTTAACTTCCAGAAATTATACCTTTTTAGGAAAGCAGGCTCAGAGCTCTGCTCATCTTCTGAACAGTAATCATAAATGTCTTAAAGGGCTATTGTAGGAGTAGTGATGATGTATGTAGAACTCCTAGCATAGACACACACACACTTGTTGCTATTGGGTTGATCCTGACTCACAGCGACCCTATAGGACAGAGTAGAACTGCCCCATAGGGTTTCCAAGGCTGTAATCTTTATGGAAGCAGACTGCCGCATCTTTCTTCCCAGGAGCAGCTGGTGGGTTTGCACTGCTTTCGGTTAGCAGTTGAATGCTTAACAACTGCACCACCAGGGCTCCTTCCTAGCATAGAGGCACACACAGTAATAGTAATATTATTTATAGAATATAATATATAATAATAATAATAGCTATTATTATTACTGTTGTTGGTATTGTTATTTATACTTGATGTGTGTAGGGCCCAGAGTTGGCACCAGATGGGGGCTACCTCTCCTTACTCTTTCTCCTTCTTCCCTCTTCACAGCCAGTATCCGTGGCATTGGGAGTAGGTGGGTGGGAACAGGCCCAGTCCCTTAAATCTGCCAAGGCAGCCAGAAGCCCAGACGTGGAATCAATGGAGAGATGGGAACAGATGGCCTTTGGACTACTTGCTGAGGGATTTCTGTTTCCTAGAGCACGGGTCCTTGGGGCATCTGCAAACATGATAACTCCATGTGAGAGGTCTGTGATGTAGTCACTGGGAAAACCAGCAGGAAGACAGCACGGGCAGGAGGGAGGGCTGGAAGGGCACCCTGTCAAGGGATACACAGCAGGTGTGACAAAAAGAGGCCATGACTCCCATTACTGGTTCTGCTCCATGAACTTGGGATTATTTGATTGATATTTTAGCCTATTCCCAAAAACAGAACTTGAGGTGGATTACAACCAAAGGCATGAATACAAAAGGATCATTTTAAAAAGAACATATAAAAAAGAAGCATGTAATTAGGGGGAAGGAAGTAGGACTGTACCCACAACCCATCTGTCAGTTTGTCATACTGTGGTGGCTGGTGTGTTGCTATGATGCTGGAAGCTATGCCACCAGTATTTACAATACCAGCAGGGTCACCAGTGGTGAACAGGTTTCAGTGGAGCTTCCAGATTCAGACTTGGAAGACAGGCCTGGAGATCTACTTCTGAAAATTAGCCAATGAGAACCTTATGGATCACAACAAGGCATTGTCTGACTTACTTGCTTTGGACCTGACATCAGGAGTGATTAATCACTAGAGGAGGACATCTGGTTTGATGAAGTAGAGGACCAATGAGGGTGAGATGGTTTTTCCACAATAGCCACAATGAAGGACTTGAATATTCTGGTGATTGTGAGGATGATGCAGGACCAGGTAATGTTTCGTTCTGTCGAATGTAAGGTCACCGTGAGTCAGAGTCAACTTGATGGCAGCTATCTATCTAAGGTTGTACAGGGGAAGTAACAATAGGAGAAATAAAAAATAAGGGTGGTTGATATATGTGAGACAGAATTTCATTCTGAGCTTCTAGTATGCCTTTTTCCTGTTGCTAAAGTCCAGTTGCTATATAAAGGCCATGAACAATATAAGGACCATATTTTCAGTAATGAGCTCATATAAAGTGTTGGAATGTTCTTTGTATGGCCATTTCTCAAATGGATTCCGGACAAAAACTGAGGATGTAATGTTAAACTGTAGTTCAGGTAGGGTCGTAATACAAAGTAATGTATATTCATTTCTGATGAGCCAGCTTGATTCAAAGATAAAGGATACAGCAGAAATGCCACTAATAGTTTAATTCTCAACATGGCACCTATGTTTTGAAATATTTTTATCTACTAAACTGGATATATTAAAGAATAACACATCTTTTAATTTTCATTCACAGAAAATATATAACTATCATTAAGAATTTTCTGACCAGAGTGAGAAAACTGGTCTTACCACATTGAGCTAATATAATTCCAGTTAAAAAGCATACAAACTTGAATTTTAGTTAGCCTGAGTGGCCCCTTTGTTGTTGTTGTTATTGCTGTGGAGTCAATTCTGACTCTTTGTGACCCATGTGTACAGAGTAGAACTGCTCTGTAGGGTTTTCAAGGCTGTGACCTTGTGGAAGCAGAATCATCAGGCCTGTCTTCTGAGACTCTGGGTGGATTTGAACCACCAGCCTTTCTGTTAGCTATCCAGCACTTAACTGTTTGTGCCACCAAGGGATTTCTTGAGTGGCCCCTTAGGAGGAATACATTAATTCCATTAAGCTTTGTAAGCAGTTAGAAATTGTGCACAGATATCTGTTACTGCATCTCCAAAGATTCCAATTTGGTAGCCATGGCTTTTGGAAAAGTTCCATAGGAGGGCCTCCCTGCTCCTGTTGCCCACCCAGCCTCAGGGGCTCTGCCCAGCCAGGACCATGGTACCTCTTGCTTCTCAGTTACCAGAACTGAGGCTTGTGCTTTTGAAGTCCAGGATCTTCTTCCTGTGGGTGTCTGACAGAAAGCAGTCGGCAGTCAGTTCAAGACTTGGGTCTCTGACAGGCTCATGGGCTTGCTCTGTATCCCAAGAGTCCACTTGGTGTCTTCTATGATTGCTTGGACTAGACTTGTTCACTTCTTGATATTGGATTGTGGGGTTGTTCAGAGCTGTCTTTATGCAAGGTTTAAGTAGGGGCAAAGTCCTCCTGGGTGACCTTCGCCTGTCTGTGTCTACTTCTTCACATTCTGTTTCTATTTTGAGGAGATAGAAAGGCCTAGGAGTGGTTCATCTTGCACAGAAGTGGGGAGAAGATCAGGTGATGGCTAATGTTGGGAAGAGCTACCTATTTAATTCAACAACTGTTTTCCCATTTATACCCATTTATACTTCTCTTTCCAAAGACAGTTGTTGGTTTGATTACATAATAGCTTCTGCCTTGGTAAAACATATCTGTAAATAATGATGTTAACATTTTTTAAACTCTGTTCAAATTTCATAATTCTTACACTTGACTTTGAGAAGAAAGGATCATAAAACCATTCTCGACAATGCCAATCAAAACAAAAAAGACCTTAAAATCAAAAAGCTTGTAGTCATAGGCATAAGTGGATAAATAGATAATTAAATGAATTCATTCATAAATATAGCTACCCGTGTGCTAAGAGCCTACGTGCATTATTTTGTTTTTATCTTCTCAACAGTAATATGAGGTAGGTACTAGATTTCAAAGGGCAGCTCTAGAAGACAAAACAAATTATTATAATGACATGTGCAAAGAGCTGGAGATAGAAAACCAAAAGGGAAAAACACATGTGGCATTCTTCAAGCTGAAAGAACTGAAGAAAAAATTCAAGCCTCGAGTTGCAATAGTGAAGGATTCTATGGGGAAAATATTAAATGATGCAGGAAGCAGCAAAAGAAGATGGAAGGAATACAGAGTCATTATACCAAAAAGAATTGGTTGACGTTCAACCATTTCAAGAGGTAGCATATGATGAGGGACTGATGGTACTGAAGGAAGAAGTCCAAGCTGCACTGAAGGCACTGGGGAGAAACAAGGCTCCAGGAATTGACGGAATATCAATTGAGATGTTTCAACAAACGGATGCAGCACTGGAAGTGCTAACTCATCTATGCCAACAAATTTGGAAGACAGCTACCTGGCTAACTGACTGGAAGAGATTCACATTTATGTCTATTCCCAAGAAAGGTGGTCCAACCGAATGTGGAAATTATTGAACAATATCATTAATATCACACACAAGTAAAATTTTGCTAAAGATCATTCAAAAGCAGCTGCAGCAATATGTCAACAGGGAACTGCCAGAAATTTAGGCCGGATTCAGAAGAGGACATGGAATCAGGGATATCATTGCTGATGTCAGATGGATCCTGGCTGAAAGCAGAGAATACCAGAAAGATGTTTACCTGTGTTTTATTGACTATGCAAAGGCATTCAATTGTGTGGATCATAACAAATTATGGATAACTTTGCGAAGAATGGGAATTCCAGAACACTTAATTGTGCTCATGAGGAACCTGTACACAGCTCAAGAGGCAGTTGTTCAGACAGAACAAGGGGATACTGCGTGGTTTACAGTCAGGAAAGGTGTGTGTCAGGGTCATCTTTTCACCATACCTAGTCAATGTGTATGCTGAGCAAATAATCCGAGAAGCTGGACTATATGAAGAAGAAAGGGGCATCAAGATTGGAGGAAGACTCATTAACAACCTGCGATATGCAGATGACACAACCTTGCTTGCTGAAAGTGAAGAGGACTTGAAGCACTTACTGGTAAAGATCAAAGACCACAGCCTTCAGTAGGGATTACACCTCAACATAAAGAAAACAAAAATCCTCACAACCAGACCAATAAGCAACATCATGATAAATGGAGAAAGATTGAAGTAGTCAAGGATTTCATTTTACTTGGATCCACAATCAACACCCATGGAAGCAGGAGTTAGGAAATCAAAAGACGCATTGCACTGGGCAAATCTGCTGCAAAAGACCTCTTTAAAGTTTTGAAAAGCAAAGATGTCACCTTGAAGACTAAGGTGCA